AACTGCCAGGTACCTTGGGCCCTAAGGGAATCATATTTTTCTTGCATAGCTTTCTGCCAATATGGAATACTGGCAGCTTTTCGAAAAATGGATGGTTCTGTAGTATTAGTTATCTCAGTCACAAATGAATACCCACCAGAAAACACCTCATCTTCTATAATTTGTAATGACTTTAATTCTGGAAAATATGCTAAGTATGCAGCATAATTCTGTCTTTGTATAGTCCCACTCTTCAATCTTGTAACCATGGGATGATTAGATAATGCATCTGTTGATATTGGATGATGTTTAGAATTTTCACTCAGTTGTGGAGAAATAAGAAGTAATACCTCTAGTTAAGAGCTGTGATGGACATGCATCAAGGGTGATTTATTGATTGTTGAATTAGAGTGATGATGATGGGAAGTTGATGTTGGAGAAAATTGTGACATACTTGAATTATTAACAGACTGGCCAGATGCTGAAACACCTTCCATATTAGAACTTGAATGCACATTTGAAGCTCGCTGCTGAAAGACAGTCTCTAAAATGAATCTGCTTGTAATTCATGAATAAACACACCACTTGATACTGGTAATGGACTATTAAATGCAGGAATAGGCATTTGAACCACAACCATATCATCTCTTATCCTTTTGGACTGCTCAGAATGACTATACTCTCGAGACAGTTTAGTTTTATATGGAAACACTTCTTCATTATGTATTACATACCTTGACAAGATCAACTTTCTATTGTTCAAATCATAGAATATTGCTCCTTTGTACCCCAAGGCATAGCCAAAAAAAAAAAAAACACACACACAGTGAAGATCGAGCTTGAAGCTTGTTGACAGTATATGGTCTCATTAAGGGATAAATGACAGTTCCAATGTAAGATCTCATATCGACCAACGGAGATGGGGTGATGTGCTTTATATGTGCATGCTCCCCTTCTTATAACACAAGGCATTTTGGGAACTCACTGGCTCCGGATCCTATAAGAACTCCAAAGTTAAGCGAGTTTAGGCGAGAGCAGTCATAGGATGAGTGACTTCCTTAGGAAGTTCTTGTGCTGAAACCCAAAAACAAAACCGTGACGGAATGGTAAGCCCAAAGCGGACAATATTGTGCTATGGCGGAGTTGAGCTGGGATGTGGCAATTTGGTATCAAAGCCACTCTGCCATTCGGTGCGGATGTGCCGGCGAGGACGCCAAGTTCCCCTTAAGTGGGGTGGATTATAAGATCCCACATCAACCAACAGAGAGGGGGTGATGTGCCTTATATGTACATGTTCCCCTCCCTATAGCTCGCAGCCTTTTGGAAACTCACTGGCTCCGGATCCTATAAGAACTTCAAAGTTAAGCGAGTTTGAGTGAGAGCAGTCCTAGAATGGGTAACCCCCTGGGAAGTTCTCGTGTCGAAACCCAAAAACAAAACCGTGAGGTAATGGTAAGCACAAAGCGGACAATATCGTTCTATGGTGGAGTCGAGTCTGAGATGTGACAATTTGGTATCAGAGCCACTCTGTTGTTCGGTGCGAATGTGCCAGCGAAGACACCGGGTTCCCCTTAAGTGGGGTGGATTGTAAGATGCCACATCAACCAACAGAGAGGGGGTGATGTGCCTTATATGTACATGTTCCCCTCCCTATAGCACGAGGCCTTTTGGGAACTCACTGACTTTGAATCCCATAAGAACTATGAAGTTAAGTGAGTTTGGGCGAGAGCAATCTTAGGATGGGTGACCCTCATGGGAATTTCTCGTGCCGAAACCCAAAAGCAAAATCGTGAGGGAATGGTAAGCTCAGAGCGGACAATATCGTTCTACGGCGGAGTCGAGCTGGGATGTGAAATCTAAATACCTTAAAATTATGGATCTCTGGAACTTTCCCAAACAGAAGATGATGTGGAGACTTAAACTCTAAGTTCTTAGATGGCATTCTGTTAATTAATAAGATTGCATGAGAACAAGTATAATACCAAAATATTTGTGGTAAATTTGCTTCTGTCATTAAAGTGATGGCAGTTTCCACTACATGATGATGTCTCATTTTAGCAATATCATTCTGCTGAGGGGTGTATGGACAAGAAATCATGTGTGAAATACCCTTGTTTGCTAAAAACTCTTTAAACCCTTTACTCATATATTCAACTCTTCCATCAAATTGAAAACATTTAATTGAGGCATTAAACTGATTAAACACAAAAGCAGTGAACTTCACAGAAATTGAACAAGCTTCTGATTTATTGATCATAGGAAATGTCCACATGAATCTGGAAAATTCATCTACAAAGATTATGTAATACTTATACCCTTCTACAGATTGTATTGGAGATGGTCCCTATACATCTAAATGAACTTTCTCAAACATACACTTAACTCTATCTTGTCTAATTGAAAATACTTGTCTACACATTTTTCTTTTTACACAAGAAGAACACATAGTTGGACAAGAATCTTTACTAGTAGTAATATCAGCAGCCTTCAACATTGTAGCCAAAACCTCCTCAAATGGATGTCCTAGCCTTTGATGCCAAATTGGAGTCCTTACTTTCTGTCCCAAGAATGCAGCACATCTACTTAACCTTGTAGCAAATGAATTATCAAACACATTCACTGGAATCTCGAAGAGTTCCTCACCATCACTTATTCCTTGGTACAAAATCACCTTTGAGGCCTTGTCCTATATAAAGAAATTCACATCATCACAAATAAACCAACATTCATTATCTTTGCATAATTTCTAAACAAAAAGAAGATTGACAGTTATTTGAGGCACATGCAAAATTAAAGCATTAGTAGGAGTCATAATTGTTAAAGAACCAATATTCTTGACTGCCAAACCTTCACCATTTCCAATTGTTATTTTCTTTTCTCTAGTGTAAAGATTGACTTGAGAGAGAGCATTGACATTATGAATCATATGGTGCGTAGCACCAGTGTCTAGGATCCAAGTATCTCCATTTGAAAACCCATGTCCATTGTTCTGTGGTGCATTATGTCCAATATTAGCTTATGCAGTCATTGTAGTTAGTGAGGAAGGTAATGGATTACCCTGATAAGAAAAATTATTTCGATGATAACACTCCAGTGCAATGTGTCATCTTTTCCCACAAATCTGGCAAGCAATGAAACCTGTATTACCAGTGTCAATTATGTGATAGCAATTAGCTGTTATGTGTCATCTCCTAGAACATATTTGATACTCAGGTGAAATACCAAATCTGTAAGTTGTATTGCCATTCCAAGTATTGTTCTTCTGAAAACCACTACCAGAAAAACTGTTTCCATTCTGTGATTGAAAATTTCTGCCATTGCCAGAAAAACTGCCATTGTTACTTCTGTGACCAAATTGATTTCCATTACCAGAAAAATTTCTAGAACTATTGTTATAGGTGCCATTATATTTTATATTCCCCCCCCAGAAAAGTTGCTCTTCTGCACAGACTTGTTGCCATTCCCCACAAAACCAGAACCTCCATGAAAACCAGACTGAAAAGCATTAGACTATTCTCCATCATATCCCCTTGATACCTCTGAGAATTTGAACTTTCACCAACTTCAAAACTGTTATGACCACTCTAGAACTCATTGGAACCAGATCCTTCGCCTTGAACATACATTGCTGCCATTGATGTACCTAAAGACTTTATTCTTGATTCAATGCTAGCCTCTGCACCAAGAAGTTGAGCCCTTAGATCTTTATAGGATATAGGAGAATCCCGAGCCAATATCACAATCTTTATCATTTCAAACTCAGGTGGTAATCTAGATAGCATAGCTATAAGGAAATCATTTGTAGTTATCCTTTCTCCAGCAGACACTAGTTGATCTTTAATTGCTTTAACTTATAAAATGAACCTATCCACGGATTCCCCACCTTTTTGAATAGTGTAAAATTTACTCTTCAGTTGATTAATTATGACCATGGAGACAGCAAATCGTTCTTGTAGACAAGTCTAGGCCTCACACGCAATCTTACAACTAATAATGTGCTCTATAACATCATCAAACAATGTAGCAATGAGAAGACTAAGTAATGCTAGATCTTTCTTCACCAAATCTTTATACACCACAATGACTTCTTTAGTAACTCCTACCTCTGTATCAATAACAAATCTCGGAGGACATAGAGCTTTACTCGTGAAATGATCGAATAGATCATATCCCCTAAGAACAAACTGAAATTGAAAACTCCATTTGACAAAATTATCATCCTAAAGCTTCACCGTGAGCATACCAAGTAACCCTTCAATCTTGACAGCAGATTCCGCCATTTGAACCTAAAAACAGACAAACAAGATTTGTTCTTGAACACCAAATATACTACCCTTGATTCGTTCCTTTTGGCTATCGGCCTTTTCCCAATGAATCAACTTACTAAGAATCAACAAATCTTGATCAAACAATGGCTATCGACCTCTTATGTGCTCAACAATGGCTATTGGCCTTTTTAATTGTCTAACAATGGCTATTGGCCTTCAAACTTTTAGAAAAATAACAGACATTCTTCGACTAGAACATAACGCAAGCAGATGGTGTGCACTGTGAAATCAGAAAGAAACCTCATCCACCATCAATCTTCAACCGATCGCAAGGAGTCGCACAGCGGAATTAAGATTGAGAGTCGACCGACGATTGATACCATGATAACAGTGCACAGAAAATCAAAGAAAACCAGAAAAACTTAGAGATAGAGAGAAAGAGAATTGTAGATAAAGAACAAAGGAAATGAATTTCTGTGTATTGCTTCGAATGAATTGCTACAAGATTCTCACACACTTATATAGCTCAATACTACCTTATCTCCTAAGCTTTTGATGCTAACAGCTCTAACTAACTAACTAACTAACTGCCTTACTTAACCGTTTGCCACATCAGCACCATTTTAATTCTTTGGACCATACTACCCTTCTTATGTTAGTCAATACTTTTTACCTTTCATACACTTCTTTAATTTGTCATCATTTGATCTTTTTCAATTCATTTGTTCAGATGGTCAAAAATTAAGAAGAGTATGTAAAAAGTAAAAAGATGGATTTCTGAACATGACACTAACTGTTCCTTTACACTCGATTCTCAAATTAAGAGAGAAAGAGGTGAATAGTTCTACACAAGTGAAGTTGAAGGCCCGTCTCAAAACGGTTCACATCTTATACAAAGTTTGCCTCAATGCAAGAGTCTGCATAGAAACTAGAAATCGTATAAGGACATGAGCTTATCAAGGGAAGACGTAATTCCACACCGCCATGGCAGGTGCTAACAAAGGCAGACTGATCTAATTTATTTCGTTGCTTTGCGCGCTAGATTATGCCTCAGATTTCGAAAATGATCTACACTTTGAGATGGATGGCACAGATGAAAAACGGAATAGACAGTTTACCGGCGAGACTCGGGAGATGATTGTATAAAGTTCCGACCAGTATTTGACAATGAAACAACACATTACCAGCATGTCTTGAATGAATCTACACATCCAAGTTTCGTTCATCGGTAATGGGGAGCTCTACTGTACGAATAATGTGTAGAGATTGGAACATCAGCCTCAGCTGAGTAAGAGGTCCCATGCAATGGTCTTTGAAGAGGATCAGCATACACCAAGCTCTGACCCTGACGGGTTGTCACTGGATAGTACCGTTGGTACGTTAATATTCGTTCATAAGACGGTGCTAAAGAATGCGAGTGCAGCATAACATGTGAGGCTGCAGCGGCGGGCAACTCTCGACTATAAGATTCGACCACATAATTGGAACGCAGAGCAATATCTCTCTCTCTCTCTCTCTCTCCTTCGACAAATGGGGCATGTCATACTCGCTTCCATACAAAACAACTTGATCCCTGGGAACCATCTCCTCTGCAAGTGTCACCCTATGCCTGTGAAAATGCATAAGAATGTTATCTATCATATGAGAATTATGCCCAAATCAATAAAAGTAATCCTCTCACGTGCTCAGGATGTGTGAGGATTAACTCTCACTGATGAAAATATAAAGATTGAAAATACGATATTGAGATAATGTAACTGCCGTGGTTTAGCGAGTGCGGTACTGTAAATAGGATAATAATGTAGATTAAGAGAGTTACATAGTTGTTTTATTATTTTTCAAGCTTGTATCAAATGACAAAACTATCCTAGTACATAAAGCTTCAAAAGTTATGAGAGGGATATTTCGGGGAGAAAACGTGAATAGAAAGGAATCTTCTTTGTATAATGAAATTGATGACATATAATGGAGACCGCTAAATGTGAAAAACACTACATAATAACAGCTGAAATAATTGGACAAAGAATGGAACAAATGAATATACCTTCTATACGCATCATGATGGGAAAGGTTTTCGGGCAAGTACCGCTCATGTGCCGCCGCTAAATAATACGAATCGGCATGATGTGGAAGAGAAGCATGCTGAACATGTTGAGGCACTAAGTCACGCCGTCAATCTTCCACATGTGTTTTGACCTCATATTTGATCATACAGTGGAAAAGGGATCGCCTGCCTGGATTGCAAATCAAGCGGCAATGCATGAGTGCGTTGCACACTATATGAATAGGAGCCCTCTTGATGGGACAGCCTTGCTGTTGGACGAAATCCTTCTTCTGCAATAGGAGATGGAAATGAGCCTGGTCTTGCCACATCTCGGAGAGGGGGAGCAGAAGTAGGCACTGACTCGGTAAGAGGCCAGAACAATGAGATTAAAGCATGCACCTTCATCAAACCAAAATGCGTAAGAATTTTTCCTTTAAAAATAATTTTAAGTGACAGGAAACTAGTTTCGAATAAATTTTAAATAAGGAGCTAAAAGATGTAAATGATGTTACTTACCTGTTTGCTATTGAGCTCTTGTTTGAACTTAGAACCTCCCTGGTAGTTGTCTCTGATAGCTGCTTTAAAAGCATTTTCCGGAAGAGGTAAACAATCCTTGAAAATCTTAAATCTGACCTCAATACAAGAACAAATTGCCAAAAAATGAAAGAAAAAAAAATCATAAATTAAGCAAACTGCAGAAGGCCACAAGTTCTGTTCTCAGTAAATTTACAACTTATTATTCTGCTCAGTACTACATATACAACAAACTAAACAACACGCACGGGTGAAACAAATCTTCTTAAAATTTTTAATTAAGTATCACAAAGCTTGATGTAATATCTGAAGAATACAGTAAGAACAAACAAGAAGTTTCGAACAGAAAAACAAGGAAAGGGCAATATATTGTCAAGTTCCAAATTTTGTGCTATCAAGCTGGATCCACCTCTTAAAACTTCTCAATGGAAGGCACCTTCTACCACACTACCACTTTTTACACACAACTTCTGTTGTCATGCCATAACTGCCATTAGCCCTTGTTCCCAATAACACTTACATACAGCTACAACCCTAGAAACCTTAAAAAAGAAACTACAACCTCATGAGAAACCTCCTATGTCCTATTACTAAGATTTGTGCACCATCATCATAGCCACCACTACCACAAAGACACAATTGTCAAAAACCACCACCACCACCATCGTTAATAATGTGCATTCACTTTTTAAGCTGTAACCAGCTGCATCTCCGCTTGAACAATAATCATGTTCACTATGCCATTCCAACCTCCACCATCCACTTGTCACAACGTCTTCTCCATAACCACAACTTTAATTATAATTTTAGGGACTCATTTGGTTTGTTTCCAGAAAGTTTTTATATAAAAGGGAAGAGAAGAAAAAAAAACATCGCTAGTCTTTTGTGACGAAATAGTTCTAGAAATACTAAAATTACATTCCCAGCAAGTTGACAACACATTAAGGGGACTAAACAACAACTTTTACCATTCAACAGTGTCGCATCTTGTTTTCATTATTATAAAACCACCACCAAAAATTGCCAATCCTTCAATTGTGGTTATATCACAGCTAGAAGGATGGAACCCTCAAAATTACAATTCAAGCTTGAGTTTGATATAACTTTGCCTACTTCCCGTTCACAATTTTTTTGTTTTGTTTTCCTGGCCATTGGAGGTTCATGAAACATAATCGGAGGCACTAGGCAGCCATCTTACATCCCATAATCCCTCTTCCTTTTAAAGGCTCAATGACATCTGCCAAAAACACTCATGTATTTATACATCACGAGCATCCAACCAAACCATTCGATAGTAATGATCGACACCTGTTTGGAAAATATGTATATTCATGTATAAACACACAAAAAATCTTGATCAAATAAGTAACTACGTTAAGTAGATAGTTTTAGTAAAGATCGACACCTGTTTGTAAAATATGTATATATACACAGATATATATATTCTCTCTCCAAAGTCCCTAACCTAACACGGTACCCCCAAATAACTTAAAAATAAAAAAGAATAAAGAGAACACCCCCCCCACCCAAATAAAATAAGCCATAAAAAGACAATGAGCATGCATGCCTGATGCCAACATGTTCTAGACTTTGAGGTCGATGTCATTCTTGCCACGAGTCGATTAGGAACCCTGTTCTTAAACTTACTGTGTCCACTTGATAATGATCTCATTTTAGGTTTTGCTATACTCGGTCTCAATGATCGTGATGTTTTTTGACCGTTGAACAAATTGTGAATTATATATCATATATAAATTAAGGGGTTTTTTTATTTAGATTCAACGATCGTGGTGATGATTCTTGACCGTTGAACAAATTATGAATTAAATATATATAAATCAAAGGATCCTTTGATTTTGATCCAATCGAGTTATGAAAAAAACTCACATATTTTATTTTGTCCATTAACTTTGTTATTTTTTACCCTAATCATTTATCTCATAATTTTATTCCCATTTTGCCATTAAATTAAATGAAGAAAATAAATTTGAACTCCCTAATTAGTATTTATATGCATCTTTAACTTCTTATTTTGATATATGAATTTTGGATATTGTGTTGCTCAATGCCATGACGCACCTACAATCAGACCAAGCTTGAAATTGTGACACTAGACCTCCCTATGATTTTACAGAAAATTGAACCTCCTAATGAAAAGGTAGAAACCTCCAACAGAGGTAGTCATGAAATCCCAAATTGAAACTCATGTCAAATGTTCTGTAAACTCAAGAATAATTGTAACCAATAAACGAGGTAGATCTCACTCAAGTTACAACCATAACATTTTTTTTCTTACCCAAAACAAAAAGGTAAAATACAAAAAAAAAAAAAAAAAAAAACAACAACAACAATAGCAATTACTACTATTTATAATCTACCTATGCTAACATATATAAACTATTACTTACCCACAAAGAAGATTGACACCGCTATTATTTACCTGTAACCGAAACATAATTATGAAGAAGAAGAAGAATTAAGTACCTACCACATAGGTTGCACTAGATAAAAATATAAGACGAATGCTTGACGTGTCTATTGTTAGAAGATAAGCCTCATTAACTCGAACCAAGATACCAAAAAAAAAAAAAAAAAAAAAAAAACGTAAATACACATAAGCCCATGTCACATTTACAAGAAAAAAAACATGAAGAATAAGAGAAGCAGAACCACGAAGAAAAAGGAAAAAGGAGAGGAAGGGGAGAAGCATAACGAAGAAGGAAAAAAAGGAAAGGGGGAGAGAGCGGGTTGAAGAAAAGGAGGAATAGATAAAAAACATGGAACTATAAATATCGTCTGACTTAAACATATTCATTAACCGGGGCCTATTCTGAAGTTTCTTCACTTTGTAGTCTATGTTTGTGTGCTGTTGGTGAATACTCTACATTCTTCGACTTACGTACTTTTTCTCCCATTTATCTCTATTATGTTTCTTCTAATTGGTCAAAAAAAATGTGTTTTACAGTAGTATTATTATGAAACGAAAACCTTCTATCAACTAGCCTTCCTTACTTATTCACCATTTTGCATGACACAATGTTGTGTACATTGAAACCATGTATATATGGAATAGAGGAAGAATTCATCTTTGAAAGAAAATTTTCATAACTGCAGTTTAGAGCCATAATTATTAATTTTTTGTTCAACTTCAATGTAGGAACTTATAAAGAAGTTCGATGCTTATGATATAACTATCTCAATGTTAATTTTTTTTTGTGACTCCATTACTGTCTTTTGATTAAAAAACTTCATTCAAATACCCAAAAAATCTTTAATTTTTCTCCCATTAATTATATATATATATATATATATATATTTTTTTTTTTTTGTCAAAATTTTTGCATATGGCTTATAGGGCTTTCCTAGTCTCGATTTATGGCTTTGCCACTGATCATTATGGTAAGTTTGCTGACATAGAAAGTTGATCAAATGGTTTAATTTGAAAATATATAACTTTTGGGTTTTCACTAAAATACACCAACATAATTGGGCGAAATTTCAATTTTTCTGATGAATTAATAATCAAACTTACCCACGCGTGTCTAACTGACTATGGCACAACTCGTTTTATCGTGTGCATGTTTCTTTGCTTGCATACGTACATATTCCTTCTTTTTTTTTTAAAGGAGATCAGTTGGTGGCTTTGTCATGGCAATCCACCCTTTTTAGGTCCACAACAATCCACCCTTTTCAGGGCATGGAAGACTCACAGAGATATTTCAGCCCCCCAATCACCATATTATGATTCACCAACACCAATAATCGAACTCAGGACGTATCGTAAGACTATTGTAGATGAGACATGGGGCCACATGCATATGTAGAAGTGTGCCTCAACCTGCCATGTTATCACTTATCAAAGCTTAAACGTGACGAGAGAGGATCCTTGCTGGATCCTCTTTGTGAGAATTCCAGAAATTCTTCAATCATATTCATTCATCGTATATCGTGCGGTTAGTTTTTGTCAGGTACGGTTTATATTCAATTTTAAATAAAAAAAATTACAATGATTTCTGACCGTACGATGTACGATGAATAAATGTAATTAGAGGATCTCCAGAATCCTCACAAAGAGGATCTGCTCCTGGAAACGTGACAGCCCTTACACAATATAATTTAGTCAAACAAATTGATTTAGGCAGAAAGTTTGGTTATAATTTATACATAAATATCACAACATCTGTACTAATTTGTAAAGCAAAGTTGGTAACAGTGTGACCTTTGAAACCGGCCTCCCGCTGGGACTTATTGGTCCATGTAATCCATCCTTAATATAATACAATATAAAATGGTTCAAGTCGTGAGATGCCTTAAGAGGAAGCTGTAAAATAGCAACAGCTTACTAGGTTTAGGCATGCAAATTTCAACCACCAACAAAATGAGTGGAAAGAGATGGAGAAATACCAAAAAAAAAAAAAAGGGTAAGTTCGGTAAAGCGCCAGTTGAAGTGTTGAACCATCAACTAGGTCGGTCAAGGGCGACTGCAAAAATTCAAAAAAAAGTGTTTTGGCCGGCGGGACCATCCTAAACCTAAAACAGCATATAGCCCTATAGCAGGCAGCGATGGTTTGGATCATCATGATTCATGACGCTAGAGGCAAGATTGTGTGGGCCAAACTGCATGCGCGATCTAGTAAAATTTAGGCGGTGGTGGTGGTGGGAGGTGGGGTGGTTTTCCCTGATACATCATAGTATCATACATGTCATAATCATTTTTAGTGAAACTAGTGTCTTACTTGCATATGACTTTAAGGATGTGAAGGGTTGTTCCACATAAAAAACTTATGCAATAATACATAATTTTATAAGAAGTTAATGTACCCTGCAGTTACTAATGGATTGATTTTGGGGTTAGAATTTCAATTTTTTTGGTGGTAGAACTCGACTCCTACGAATACCTGATATTGATGCTACACACCATTATAAGCGAATCCACTATGTTTGTCGAAGAGAGAAACCCATTTGACAGTTTTAACCTTAGGGTTACACATCCTTTTTTACCTCTCACACAACCCTATTAATTTCTTACATTTGGTCTTCTTCAATTCATTAGATCCAATAACCGAAAATTAAGAATATCATGTGGGAGGTAAAGAGGTGGGTTTCTGGACATGACACTAACTGTTTCTTTACACTCGATTATCAGATTAACAAAGACAGAGGTGAATAGTTGCACACAAGTTATGAAGTTGAAGACCCGTCTCAGAACCGGTTCACATCTTATACAAAGTTTCGACCAGTATTTGACAACGAAGCAACACAGTACCCGCATGTCATGAATGAATCTACACGTCCAAGTTTCGTTCATCGGTAACGGGGAGCTCTAGCGTACGAATAATGTGTAGAGATTGGAACATCTGCCTCAGCTGAGTAAGAGGTACCATGCAATGGTCTTCGAAGAGGATCAGCATACACCAAGCTCTGATCCTGATGGGTTGTTACTGGATAGTACCGTTGGTACGTTAATGTTCGTTCATAAGATGGTGCTAAAGAATGTGGCTGCAGCATAACATGTGAGGCTGCAGCGGTGGGCAACTGTCGACTATAAGATTCAGCCACATAATTGGAACGCAGAGCAATATCTCTTTCTCTCTCCTTCAACAACTGGGGCATGTCATACTCGCTTCCATACAAAACAACTTGATCCCTGGGAACCATCTCCTCTGCAAGTGTCACCCTATGCCTGTGAAAATGCATGAGAATGTTATCTACCATATGAGAATTATGCCCTAATTAGTAAAAGCTAAATGTGAAAAACACCACATAATAACAGCTGAAATAATTGGACAAAGAATGCAACAAATGAATGTACCTTCTATATCCGTCATGATGGGAAAGGTTTTCAGGCAAGTACGGCTCATGTGCTGCTGCTAAATAATATGAATCGGCATGATGTGGAAGAGAAGCATGCTGAACATGTTGAGGCTCCATGTTACGCCGCAAACATTCCACATGTGTTTTGACCTCATATTGATCATACAGTGGATACGGGATTGCCTGCCTGGATTGCGTATCAAGCGGCAATGCATGAGAACGTTGCACACCATATGAATAGGAGCCCTCTTGATGGAACAGCCTTGCTGTTGGATGAAATCCTTTTTCTGTAATAGGAGATGGAAATGAGCCTGGTCTTGCTACATCTCGGAGAGGGGGAGCAGTAGTAGGCACTAACTCGGTGAGAGGGCAGAACAATGAGATTAAAGCATGCACCTTCATCAAACCAAAATGCGTAAGAATTTTTCCTTCAAAAATAATTTCAAGTGACAGGCAACTAGTTTTGAATAAATTTTAAAAAGGCGCTAAAAGATGTAAATGATGTTACTTACCTGTTTGCTATTGAGCTCTTGTTTAAACTTAGAACCTCCCTGGTAGTTGTCTCTGATAGCTGCTTTAAAAGCATTTTCAGGAAGAGGTAAACAATCCTTGAAAATCTTAAATCTGACCTGAATACAAGAACATATTGCCAAAAAATGAAAGAAAAAAATACATAAATTAAGCAAAGTGCAGAAGGCTACAAGTTCTGCTCTCAGTAAATTTACAACATATTATTCTGCTATCAGTACTATACAAAACGCATGGGCGAAACAAATCTTCTTAATTTTTTAATTATCACAAAGCTTGATTTAACATCTGAAGATTCCAGTAAGAACAAACAAGAACTTCCGAACAGTAAAACAAGGAAAGGACAATATATTGTCAGTGGAAGGCACCTTCTACCACACTACCACTTTTTACACCACAACTTCTGTTGTCATGCCATAACTGTCATTAGCCCTTGCTCCCAATGACACTTACATATAGCTACAACCCCAGAAACCTTAAAAAAGAAACTACAACCAGAGAAACCTCCTATGTCCCATTACTAAGAATTGTGCACCATCATTGTAGCCACCACTACCACAAAGACACAATTGTCAAAAACCACCACTACCATCGTTAATAATGTGCATTCACTTTTTAAGCTGTAACCAGCTACATCTCCGCTTGAACAATACTCATGTTCAATATACCATTCCAACCTCCACCATCCACTTGTCACAACGTCTTCTCCATAACTACAACTTTAATTATAATTTTAGGGCTCATTTGGTTTGTTTCCAGGAAGTTGTTATATAAAAGGAACAGAGAAAATAAAACAAAATAAAGCATTGCTAGTCTTTTGTAACAAAACCATTTGACAGTAATGATCGACATCTGTTTAGAAAATATGTATACTCATATATAAACACACCCAAAATACTGATCAAATAAGTAACTAAGTTAGGTAGCTAGTTTAACAATAGCAATAAGCCCTTAAATCAGACACGGACAAAGTCAGGGGTTTACATTTTCTGGTCTTATTTTCTAGGAAATCATATAGAGCATTGTTACCTGTGCAGGGAATTTCCCCTTAAACGCAATTGGTTCCAAATCCAATCCTCCACTTGAAGTTGCCTTATACGTGCCATAAAGGAGCTTCAAGTCAAAATCGTATAGAAATAGCTTTGCACCCGGTCTAATTTTCTTCACAAGATCTACCTTTGCTAACGGCAGCCCAAAAACACGATAGCGATAACACTCGGGTTTCGTTTTCCCACTACACATAAATATAAAACCAGAATGAGAGTGCCCACTATCCTTCTCATTCTTTGTTGGCCGAACCTTTTTTCTACCAGTAGGATTAGCATGGCTAGACTGAAGTTGCATGAGCAACACTGGAAGTGGAAGGGCCGCTGTTAGGCACAGGAGCCGGCGTAGGCACTGAAGATGAACTTATCTTCATAGATTTCTTCTTGTTCTTCGTAAATTTCTTTTCTATCTTCTTCTTCCTATCATTGTGATTTACAGCTACATCTTTTCTTTTTAACGCCGCCTTCCCTCTTTTCTTTGCCATGAATAAACTGTTAAAGCTAAAAAGTTGCGTAATTCTTGCAATGTAATTAATAGTTATGGAAAGATTACATAAAATGTAGTTGATTCTTGAACACGACAATGCGATTCCTAAACATTGATCATCACATTCATCTTAAAAACATCAGTGTACCCTTGTAATCTTTGTTGATTCTTCTACTTCCTAACATGTTAAAATATTTTCGAATTTCGAATTTCAATAAATACAACTCAAGAAACCCAATTTTTACAAGAAAGATTCCAACTTGTCCAAAGCCTCCCATAGCATCAATTAATTATCACTCCATCTCCCTAAGTTACCTTTAAATTTCCATCATCCACCATTTAAATTACACTTTTTCTTCACCTCAAATGGCGATTCCATATTACCCGAAATGCTTGAAATCTTCTCTAAATTAATAACATTACGACAAACAAACGAATAAATCACCAAAATCGGAGAGAAGAGAGAGCAGAGGAGTGATTGGGTCGAAGAATACCTGTAAAATTGTCACGCTGCTGCTGTTGTTGTTGCTGGAGATTGAAGAGAAGACAGTGAAATTGGGGAGGAGACTGGGTGAATGGATGGGATTAACGGCTACAACGACGCCGTGTAGTTACTGATGTGGTGCATGAATTACGCGCATATGCCTCAGTCCAATTGGTGGTGGTTGCGGTGGGCGGGGGAGCTTGGAGACTTGGAGTCGGCGGTTCCATAACTGTTATTTTATAAATTAAGGTCATTAATACTACAATGTTATATATAACTAAAAGTTAGAGAGATAACTTTTACTAATGATAGGATTGAAGTGTAAAATATGTAACTTATAACACAAGGGATGACCAATAAAAAAGGGAGGGATAGATAATGTTATTGATCTTTCTTGTTTTATATGTATTTTGATAGTACATGAAGCGCTCTATTTATATAGCAACTCTAATCACACAACTTTTGAAAAATACGATCTCCTTCATTTTCAAAGTCCACATTACTATGTGGGTATTGAAAAATCTACTAATGTTTTCAATATTACTGTGGGCATTCATTAACCCACCAGTATTTTCAACCCTCCTTCTTGGATGCCCACATATCAACATTAGTTGCCTTGTTAAAACCTTGCTCAGAAAAACCCAGTGGAAAAAAACCATAGCGAAGGAAAAAGAGTACAACTTTATCTAGATTGTTGATATAGTGTTAAGTATACTTATATTGCCTCGTTAAAACCTTGATAGGAAAAACACAATGGGAAAAATCCTAATCGAAGGAAAAAGAGTACAACATGCATGTATCATGGATGCTCCCCCTGATATGTATCTCTTTCTTATTTCGCATTTTTCAAATTTATCTGATTAGTAAATCGACGTAATCCAATATTTTACACTAACTTCTGAAACGTGCACTTTGGTAGAGATTTGGTGAACAAGTCTGCCAGATTTTTATTGGAACGGATTTGTCTAACTTCAATAACTTTAGCATTCTGAAGCTCATGTGCACTGAAAAACTTTGGAGATATGTGTTTAATCTTATCGCCCTTGATGAATCCTTCTTTCATTTGAGCAACACAGACTGTATTGTCTTAACGGATGACAGTTTGAGTGTCTATCTTGGAAGGTAGACCACATGAATTCCGAATATGATGGATCATTGATCTTAACCAAGAACGTTCACAACTTGCTTCATGTAAAGTAAGTATTTCTGAATGATTTGAAGATGTAGCAACTAATGTTTGCTTTTATTTAGAGCCATGAGATTGATGTATCTTCATTGTTGAACACATATCCAGTTTGTGAGCGGGCTTTATAAGGATCAGAGAGAAAACCAGCATCTACATATCCAACAATGACTTGGTCATTTGTGGATTTCTCTGAGTAAAAGAGACCCATATCTGTTGTCCCACGAAGGTCTCGTAATACATCTTTAATTATCTTCCAATGACGAATTGTTGGAGCAGAGCTATACCTTACTAACAAGTTGACTGAAAATGATATATCTGGTCTAGTACATTGTGCTAAATACAGTAAAGCACCTATTGCACTCAAATATGGTACTTCTGGACCAATGACCAGTTCGTCATCTTCTTTTGGACGGAATGAATCTTTCTTAACGTCCAAAGAATTACGATCATTGACGTGCTTAGTGGATAAACATTGTCCATACCAAATCGCTTTAGGATTTTTTCAATGTAAGCTGATTAGTAGACCAAAATTCCACTAGTACAATGCTCGATCTGCAGATCGAGACAAAATTTTGTTTTTCCAAGGTCTTTCATTTCAAATTCGCTTTTCAGATATTCAGGCAGTTTTATTGAGCTCCTCAGGGATTCCAACTAGGTTCATATTATCGACATATACTGCTACTATAACAAATCCAGAGTTAGATTTCTTAATGAACACACAAAGACAAATAATATTGTCGATATACCCTTCTTTGATCAAATACTCACTGAGACGATTATACTACATTCGTCCAGATTGTTTTAGCCCATATAATGATCGCTTTAATTTGATTGAGAGCATACCTCATGGTTTGTTAGTTGTTTCAAGCAACTTAAGTCCTTTTGGACTTTCATATATATGTCAGTATTTAATTCTCCATATAGATACGCTGGTGATGACATCCATAAGTCGCATGTCAAGTTTTTCTGAAACCACACTTATTAAGTAATGGAACGTAATTGTGTCCATTACATGAGAGTATGTCTCCTCATAATCAATTCCAGGTTTTTTACAAAAAAACCTTGTGCAACGAGTTGTGCTTTATATCTTGCAATCTCATTTTTCTAATTGCGTTTTCTTGTGAATACTTATTTGTAACCCACGGGGTTTACACCAAGTAGGGTTTGGACTACTGGTCCAAAACATTTCGCCTTTCCAAGGAATTTAATTCTGTCTGGATTGCATCTTTCCACTTAGGCCAATCTTGTCTCTATTTGCATTCAACAACAGAGCAGGACTTAAGATCATCACTTAATATGATTTCATTGGCTACTACGAATGCGAACATGTCGTCGATGATTATTTCATTTTGATTCCACAATTCATTAGTACAAGTATAATTTATGAAGATTTATTTGCTTTCATATACCTCTGTGTCTTTAGGTACATATGTCTCATCAAGGATATTTTCTTTTTCTGAAAGTACAGAATTATGAATTGTGGATTTGTCATTCATTTTCTCTTCTTAAATGTTTTCATTTGGATTCAGTTGTGCCCTCATCTTTCTCTTTCGAGGGGTTGGATCTTTTGAACCTAGAGGTCTACCACGCTTCAAGCGTGCACTAGATGAATCATTCGCTGTCACTTTATTTTGTCCAACAAAGACATCAATTCTTGCAGATGCATTTACAGCTAGTATATTTGTCACTTTCATAGCATCACTAAATGCATCTGGCATTTGATTGACAATACTTTGAAGATGAACGATCATTTTTACTTCATTTTTACATTGAATGCTTCGAGGATCAAAATGAGATAAGATGGGAACAACTCATGTCAGCTCTTGCCGTTCTTCTCAAATAGTCATTTTCTCCCCCTAACGACAGGAGGACTGTCTCATCAAAGTGACAATCAGCAAAACGAGCTGTAAACATATCACCTGTCAAGGGTTTCAAATATCTAATGATAGATGGTAAATCAAAACCCACATAAATTCTCAGTCAGCACTTAGGTCTTATTTTAGTGCGTTGTGGTGGTGCAATAGGTACATAAACAGCACAACAAAAACTCGTAAATGTGAAAGATTTGGCTGATGTCCAAACACGAGTTGTACTGAGGAATATTGGTGGTTGGCTATAGGTCTTACTCGAACCGATGATGCAGCATATAAGATAGCATGTCTCCTTGCAGAGACTAGCAATTTTGTTTTCATGAGCAAAGTGTGGGCTATTAACTAAAGCCGCTTGATCAATACTTCTGCTAAACCATTTTGAGTATGGACATGAGGAGCAGGGTGTTAAACATCAATGCCCAATGTCATGCAGTAATCATCAAATGTTTGAGACGTAAATTTAACAGCGTTATCAAGTCGAATTGACTTAATGGGGTAATCTAGGAATTGTGCTCGCAACTTAATTATCTGAGTAAGAAGTCTCGCAAAAGCTACATTCCGAGTAAACAAGAGAGAAACATGTGATTATCGGGTAGATATATCAACTAAAACCATTAAATATCGGAATAGTCCTACATGATGGTTAAATAGGACCACAAATATCCCCTTGAATTCTTTGCAGAAATGATGGGGATTCAGCATCAACATTTAGTTGTAATGGTCTAATTACCAACTTCCTTGAGAACAAGCCTTGTAAGGGTTATTATTAAGATAACAATGTGTCTCCTCAATAATGGATGTTTATTAGAGTTGGTAATGATCCTACGCATTATGGTAGATCTGGGTGACCCAGACGGTCATGCCAAAGCATGTAAACTTTTCAATCAATGAACTTATGGTTCATGACAGTATGTGATTCAACTGTCTTTATGTATGTATAATACAATCCACTTGTCAAATCATGCATCTTCTCTAATATACACTTTTGGGTATCATTGGAGGTAATGCATATATACTCCATATTTTCTGCACTTTTCATTTCAATGTGGTATCCATTTAAACGTATGTCTTTAAAACTCAACAAATTTTAGGTAGATCGAGTAGTGTACAACGCATTATGTATGGACAATATTGTTCCATTTGGTAACATAATCTGGGTTTTCCCTGAGCCTTCAATTACATCTGAAGGACCTGATATTGTTGTTACCCTTACTTTTGTAAGCATTAATCTTGAGAAATACTTTCGATCTCAAAGTATTATATGTGTGGCTATGCAGTCTGCTAGACAAATATCTCCGTCATTTCTCATGTTTTGAGAATGACCATGGTTTTTATCCATGCTCTCTGAGTAAGGAATTACAGTTAAAATCAAGTTATAACAGGAAATTTAAACGCCACTTTTATTGAATTTGAAATGCTAGTTTTGAACTACAAGTTTAGTACATCAAATATAAACGATTTAGTCGGACCGGTATATTTCATTCCGCATTTCCACAATAAAATCTGAGACATCTAAGTGGGTTGTGTTCAACTTCTCTGATAAGTCACACATTGGATCATGTATATCTATTGGTTTAACCTGGTCGAGAAAACTGGTCTTAACACCCTTTTCCTTGATGGATGCTTGATATAAATCCATCAGATGTTTTGGGGTACGACAAGTTCGCGCCCAGTGCCCATTGCCACCATACCTATGACAGACTCCTTTAAAGTTTTTGAGAGCATTGTTCATAAGAGCTTTGCCTTTGTGGCGATTCACATTTTTAAAGCTCGGGCCTGAATTATGCCTTGGAATCTGGTTGTGAAACTGAACACCATGATTTTTACTTTTCCTGTTCCACCGTCCTCGCCTGTGGCCATGTTCTCGTTTATAATTATTACCACCAGAGGATGTGGTGTTCACTTCAAGGGAAGCAACATTCATTTTTAGGAATGATGCATATCTAGTAAGTCGGGACTGATAATTTTTCATTAGGAGCTTATTCTTTTGTTCAGCTACCAGGAACACAGATATCAGCTGGTTGTATTTAATGAAACCTCGTTCTCTATACTAATGCTACAGGAGCACGTTTGAGTCATGAAAGGTGTTGAAAGTCTTTTCCAGCATATTATCCTCATTGATGGTACTGCACCATCTTAGATTGCAGTAAGATTAAATTTACAGTTCAACATGGGCAATTGTACAGCACAATCTTGGATTGCAATAAAATTAACATAAATAAATACTAGGTTAGTAATCAAGATCTACACCAAACAAGAAATCAAAAATATATGTAACTGTTAGGTTGAGAACTAAAAACAGGCATGGTGCAAACAGTTCTTCGCAAGAGTATATCCAGCAATTGAGACAGAGAAAGAAGATGAACAGTAAAATCCTTAGAGGAAACTTTTTTTTTTCTCTTTCGTTCGGCGAAGAGAAATGAGAAAATGGTTAGATTTTAGAAAGTCGTGTTGATAATGTGTTATAAATAGGTAAAAGTTAGAGAAATAACATTTACTAGTGAAATGAGCGAAACAGATGTAAAATATCACATTGTAACTATAACACAAGGGGAGATGACCAATAAAAAAGGGAGGGATAGATAATGTTATTGATCTGTCTTGTTCTATCTGTATTTTGATAGTATACGGAGCACTCTATTTATAGAGCAATTCCAGCACACAACTTTTGAAAAATACGATCTCCTTCATTTCAAAGTCGACATTACTATGTCGGTATTGAAAAATCTACCAATGTTTTCAATATCACTGTGGGCATTCATTAACCCACCAATATTTTCAACATACAAATTATTGTATTTTTTATTTGTAAGTAAAATGTTTTATGTTCGACGACATATTTAATATAAGATTTGGACACCTAAATGGTTGGCTCATCGAAAATATTTTTAAAATATGTACGGAATTGTATTAACTGATTATGCGTTGTACTTAATAAAGGCTTGAAAAACAAGAAAATTGAGGTTCGAAAGTTACTTTTACAAAAATTTTGCACTTGCACATTTGAGCAAAACTAGTACAAATCAAACCATGTAAATAAATTTAACAAAATTTAAACTACAGTACCTGAAGGTTGAAGTGACAATGATTGTAAATCCTACCAATTGTGACCTTTTGGGCAAAGATATTTTTTGGCGCTTTAGTATAAAAGTACGATTTTGTTGTAAAAATGAATGGTCTCGTGTCTTCTGTCTATTATTTAGTTTGAAAGGATGACCTATACTTTTATAAAATTGTCAAATAGAATGGTTTGGTAGGTTTGTTAAGTTGAAAGACACTTTGCCTATAAAACAATAATCCAGGCAAAATAGGAGATATGCACGGCAAGAGAAGAGGAAAGAAAGATAGAAGGGAATTGAGAAGAAAAATATAAGTTAGCCATACCAAGGCTAGAGAGAACGAGAGAAAATAATGAAAGTTATTTTGTATTCCTATTATTTTAGATAATAAAAAAAAATATTATTCCAGTCCCCAAGACATAGGCACACTTATCGAATCTCATTTAAATTCAAAATTTTCAAACATTTTTCATTGATTTTTCATATATTTAACTACACATCTGTCCTCGATTTCACAACAAATTTTACTTTATAACGATATTTGTTTGTTTCTTACGTCAATTGGACGAGTAGGAAATGAAATTGAAGCATATGGATGTAAATTTGATGTGGTGAAGTGAATGAGTGAAAAAATGGGAAAAACAGGTCGCAAGTACAAAACTGACATCCAAACAGAAAGAAAATGTCAATCAACATAACACGCTTGCTGGACTCCACCGCGAAGGGTTTTTCCAATTCCCTTTTGCTTCATCAATCTTCAACGTAAACCAGAGAAGAAGCAGACGGCTGCCACTCCACTCCCATTTTCCAATTCGATCCCACGCCCAGGCTTCACGACGCCGTTTCACCCCTAGGTATGCCCCTACACTCTGATATGTCAGCTTCTTTGTATTCACCTCAATTTTACTTCTTTACTGCGAATTTCAATTGCTGTCCGCCAGTAGATTCTTGGGTTTTATTGGGTTTTAGCCACAAATCATGAGAACCCGGTTTCTTTCTTTAATTCTTGTTTTTGATCAATTGATTTGGACTAACAAATTTTCAGTATTCTGAAAAAAAATTGGAACTTTTAGTTGGTATTGGAATCTTGATAGTATTGGGTGTTCAATTATGTTGAATTTTGGATAAAGGAAGTGGAGGAATTAGGGTACGGATTTGTTTGAATGTGAGTGTTGTTTGTTGCTTGTTTTTGTGTGTGAATAGAGAATGCAGAATCCTGAGGGGGTCCAAGTGGATGGGGAAGTGGAGTCCTGCAGCATCGGTTGCAACACCCGAGTTTGATGAGTGGGCAAATTTTGGGGACCAAGATATCATGCAGCAGCACTCCGCGATTCGAGCAGAGGAGGCTGAGAAAATTCCCTTTCTTGGGGACAAGGCAATACTCAAATGTCTAGACTTTGTTAACATTCAATGTTATGCAACCGGGTTTTGAACCTTTTGTTGTGTGTTAAATGTGCAGGAACCACTCTCATCGCTGGCATCTGAATATCGATCAGGCAGCGCTATCTTGTTGGAGAAAATAAAGGTTTCCTAATTGTCGTCTGCTCTCTAGTTTGTCCCTTCCATTCTTTATGATATTAGGTTCTTATGGAACAAATTGTAACTACCCTTTATGCAGCTTCTCGGTGAACAATATGCTGCTATTCGGCGAACAAGAGGAGATGGGAACTGCTTCTTCCGAAGCTTTATGTTTTCATACCTTGTATGTCCCTTGGAACTGCATTCGTTTTTTTATATGTGGGGTGTCTACCTGTAAGCGTGACACAAGTATGTAGTCTGGTCTCTTGGCTGTTAATAAATTTTTGAGCTGTCCAAATAGGAGCATATTTTGGAATCACAAGATCAAAGTGAAGTTGACCGTATCAAGGCCAATGTTGAACAGTGCAGAAAAACACTTCAAAGCTTGGGTTACGCAGACTTTACTTTTGAGGATTTTTTTGCGGTAACTTCCTACTTTCACTTTTACACTGTATTGTTGGTTTATTCATTTCTCTTCTTCTATTCCGAATGCATATGTGATATTCAGTAAAGCCACTGGTTTTATGTGTAAGCCTTTTGGATTTGAACACGGCTTGACGCTTTGCAGATGAATAAGTTTTTTGTATGATCAACTATTGAAAGTCACATGATAGCTGATATATATGCACCATATATTTCATGCATTTAGAGAATATCAGCAGGGAATCACATATTTTACTACCCGATTTTCCAGAGCAGTTTTAGCCCAAATATAATAGAATTTCAAAGGCCTCAGGCATTCACATAAATCTGATCACATAGAATCAAGTTGGACAACCATGCATAGCTAACTCATAGGCCCATGGTTCTATGGTTTGATGCTCACTTTCATATACAAAAGCTACCAAAGAATTTCATCCATTGAGGGGTGATAAAACCATCTAGAATCTGGTGTCGTCCTGTCATGTGTAAGTTGGTCAGGCAAGATTCAAGAATGATGATACATCTATGCTTTTAAAGAAAATGAGATATTCACTTTCTTACATATAGTTATTTGGTCGACGAGGAGGTCTTCATGTCAATTTCAGGAAATAAGGATTTGTTTAAAGTTTCCAGTTAGTTTCATTCCGATCTTTTTCGTGTTCATAAACTTGGCCTGAATTTATAATATCATGAATATCCACTCGTAAAAAAAAAAAAACTATGATCTCAAATTCCTGGAAACTTTTCAGTTATTCCTTGAGCAGCTGGACAGTGTTCTTCAAGGAAATGAAGATTCCATAAGGTGTGGATAGTTCCTTTACGTGGCTTTTTGTTGACTATTAAATATTGAAAGTAGTTTGATGCTAGTTTTGAGATGTGTGCCTAACTGTAATCAGCATGATTTGTTATTTCTTACAGTCATGATGAGCTCATACGTAGGAGCCGAGATCAGTCAGTATCTGACTATGGTGAGTGGCTATAAATGAAACAGTTCTTAGTGTGCTGTTTTATCCCGCTACAATTACCTGACACATTTGGTTGGTTAGTTGTGATGTTTTTCAGATTTGTTACCTCTGGCGAAATACGGAAACGCTCAGAGTTTTTTGAACCTTTTATATTCGGATTGACCAATGCATCTGTAGAGCAGGTTTGTTCAATGAAAACTTTTCAACCAATGATTTATTTGTTCTATAGTGGTTGACCAAATTACTCAATTCAAGGCTACTGCGCAAAGTTTCTTGAGAAAGAATATGAAAATGATTAAATCATATATAATGTAAGATATAGTGATGTGTTTCAACTTTCAATCTATCTTGTCTAGAAAATGGTGGTCTCTTCGCTTCTTATCTACCTAATTCATGTTGGACTGTGCTGCTAATTTTGTTCTCTGCATTAAGCTACAAATTCCTGTGTGGTTGGAAGTCAATCTTGCCGAAAGAGTTTAATTCAGAAAGCAATTTGAGATTTCCATAAATGTCAATATCGGATTTCTCATATGTGGTTTTTCTTAATAGTTTTGCAAGTCAGCCGTGGAACCAATGGGTGAAGAAAGTGACCATGTGCACATCACTGCCCTGTCAGATGCACTTGGCGTGCCAATCCGTGTGGTGTACCTAGACCGTAGCTCATGTGATAATGGTGGTGTTAGCGTGAATCATCATGATTTCGTTCCTGCTGGAAGCGATGCTCCAAAAGCTAGTGAGGGCTCTGAGAAAGTGACTCCCTCTATTACCTTGCTATATCGCCCAGGCCACTACGATCTTCTCTACCCGAAGTGATGCTCTCACCTGTTCCTGTAAGTACATCTTGCATATGTTCAAGGGCTCTCATTTAGTTGGAGAATGTAACTTTGCTCTGAACTGTTGAAAGTAAGTGAGACCAGAAACACAACATTGCCTGAAAAAAAAAGGGAAATCGGTTTAGGACTGCCATCTGTAAGAGAGCAGGACGTAATTTCATCAACGATAAGAAATTGCAATTTAAATAGTGGCTGTTGCTTCTGTAATGGATGTTTGCAATTTGAAAAGGAACTGTTGCTTTGATTTCTGTAATGGTTGTTACTTCATTCATGCGCATGCTTAGGGTTCATTAAGTCGATTTCTTGCGACGAAAACATTTTGAACATAAATAAGTGAAAGTAGACGATTAACTGTTCCGGAGAGATTTACAAGGCGAAGTACTCAACCCCATGCAAGCTGAGTACTTCGACTCATTAATGTAGAAAGTTCATATCGAGCCACAACCAGTTACCATGATGTACGAGTGGGTGGCTGTCGATGAGTGATCGGCAGTTTCCGATCAATTATATGAAGCTATGCATCCCATGGAATCCAGCCACATTATTTCAACACAGAATCTATACAAGAACAATGAGTTTAATTATTCAAAAAAAAAAAAAAAATTAACGCTCTTATGTCTTAATGGTTACAAATGTGTTCCTCCAAAGAACTAAATAAAACATAAACCACAAGAAAAAAAATTACAATCTCTTCTTCCTGCTCAGAAACTGCTATACATAAATTATATTTTTGTTTCTCTTTAAGTAATTACTCTTAAGATCATCCAAAATTTCGAAGCTCCAGCCGATGCTCCTTTTCGTCCTTTGTACTAACTGTTTCGGAATTTAAAGAAAAATGGTGAAAGAAAACCTGGAAAATCGCTTAGCATTGGCTAAGCATTCGTCCTCTAAGGTTTAAACGGGCTTGTAAGAAACACCGCAAGATCTTTCCTTGGCCCTCTCTTAAGCCACCCTAAATATGCATCACCGAAGATTCGGGTGGAAGGAAATTAGAATCTTCTGTACTGTAAGGTTAGTGCCCGGGAAAATATGTGGTGCTTAGTCCGACTCCTTAGCAGAACGGGAACCTGCAGATGTCTCTCCGGTGTAAGAATGCTCTTCGTCTCCAAAACTTGGTGGACTCCCTACATAGCTCTCCTCATGGGTGACTGTTCGAGTTTTCCCAGGTCTTGTGCGAACATTAACCCCCATTGGGAAGGGCACCTGTTGGTCAAGAACTGTCAGTATGTAATCTCTCCATCTTGCATTAATAAGTGTTATCCTCTTATTGTTATTTGGATATCTTTTAAAATTTTGCATTTCCATTTTGAATTTAGTATGCATGCTCCGTCACCATCCGCGTACCTGATCACCGGCATTTGGGCCATCAGTGTTGAAGAGAATGGGACGGCATCGCTTATCCTCATTCATCAAGCTTGAATTCTGGAAGTGTGCAATCAGAGCAGCTTTTCCTTGAATTCGAGCATACGCGAGTGATGCCACCTTCTCACTGTTGAACTTCTCCCATTTCTTCCCGTTGAATGACTGCAAAAATTGGACATTCTTTTTAGCTTCAATTTGCATATGCGTTTTATCATTTTAAAGCTTTACAGAAAACAAACCTGATAAAATGGAACGATCATTCGAGGATCAGTCATATTGATGAACGCATAGCCCACATTGCATTTGTTCTGCAACAGATATGAAGACCATGTTCATCATACAGCTACAAGTGTGAGATTATATATCTGCCACAATATCACAGGAAATAATCCACACAGAACGTCACTTGCCTTAAAATCAATTGGTAGATAAATGAAATCGAAAGTTCCTCGATGGCGTTCATCAATTGCAGCCAATAGCATCTTTGAAGTATACCTATCATCATTCAAACACATTGATCCGAGAATTATTTAAGAGCCAAGAAAGTAATAAAAGGAGCCATTAACAATGAACTTTCTTTCTATTCAGAATTACTTGTTGGGAATGTTCTTTATCATAAGTGTTGTTCGGTTGTCTTCTCCTCGCATAATGCAGTCAACATCCAGTTCATACTGTTTCTTATTGTCTCCCTGATTAACCATGCCTTCATTTCTACGACTTCTTGTACGCTCAGCAGGCAGATCAAATGCATTCATGATGGGAATCATATGGCCTCTTCCAGGAAACATCATGCACCTCTGATGATGGGCTTGCTGCAGTCCTGCATTTTTGTGAGCAATTGGCAGGTCCATGCTGTTTCCACCAACATGAGGAAACATGTTATGAGAAACAAATTCCATTGAATGTGGTGAGTTATTTGAGATTCTCATATTCCCAAGAGAGCCTGGATGAAACCCAGATGCCTCGGGGGATTCCCCTCCATATGATTGTCGTCTGTCCCATAGAGAAGGATTAACCACTGGTGCTGACCCCACATGATGGTTATGCATGGGCAAACCTGGGTTTAACATATGAGATGGTGCTCTAGGAAGTCCATGAATCCGTGTTGGGGGATGGACTGCAGAAATGGGATGAGCTGAAGAAAGTCCATTGACAAATGATGGTAAGTTTGGCCATATCATTCCAGGAGGCTGAGGGTGATAGGAGTTGTTCCATGCATAATGATGTCCAGGAATAGGGCAGTTAACATTGTCGGCAGAGCCAAAAACTGAGGAAGAGAGCAAAAACAGAGGATCGAGATAAGAAAAGATATCAAACTGGAGAAAATTAAAGAAGTGCAGTAGTTTGTTAATCATTCACTTACCACCTTCATTTAGTTCAAATGAGTGCCCGTTGGAGCTTACTCTGGGGAAGTGCCTGTTATCATTTCTTTCTGTTGGTCTGGCATTGATAGATACATTGCCCGGTGAACTGCAGTTGACTGAATTAGTTAAACCACCATGATACTCTGGAAGTGAATGAGGATGGGAAGCTGGAGAGCCACGAATGTCAAATTTCAGCGAGCCTGGTGAATGGACAGACTCAACAAAGCCAGACTGATTCCCAACTGATTCAGCTCTCAGAACAGAAGGTAAGCTGTTAGGAACTCTAGAAGAGACCCCAAAGTGGAATGCATTTTCAAGGGACGCAGCTTGTGCTGCAGCGTGTACAGCCATGATACTTCCATTATCTGTGCAACTGGATGTAACTGATCCATGTGCAACTGGTCCTGTTAACAACTCTTTATGAGACCAAATAAAGAGAATCTGTGCTTCTAAACTAGATCGACGAGGGTTTTTTTAGATAAATACTTTACCAGAAAATCCAGTGATAGAGTCAGAAGGGCTAGTCTGCTGCAGATATAGGCCACATTCATCTTGCTCTAACAAATCTGGAGATAACTGTAGCCCCAAGCTGCAGTGAAAAAAATAATTACCAGATTATAAGAGATTAGTAATTTTCAAACACGGCTTGAGTAAAAAAACACGGAAAATATATACAAGCAAGGAAGCAAAGTAATTGTTCTAGGGCAATACCTCTGTCTTGCACCTCCAGGACGGCTTGGCTCAAGCTTAATTTGCTTCCCGGCAATATCACTCTTGTTTAAGGCATTAAGAGCAGCGTCTGCAGCTCTAATGTCATAAAATTCAATAAATTTGTTATGACTTCTGTTTGGGGTTTCACAGATCTGCAATCCAGATTCAAGAATGACAACGCATTAGAGCTTATGCTTTTGCCATGCACAACTACAAGAAACGGCAGGAAATACTCACCTCTTTGATTTCTCCATAGACACCAAAAACCTGGCGTAATTCATCATTTGAAACAGAAGAATCCAGGTTGAATACAACAAGAGCTCCCTGATTAACATCTTTCTCAGAAGGGTTGTCCTGACAAGAGATAACCCAATTAAAGCAATGTATAGACTACCAATGTAAATCCAACTGTATAACAATAATCATGAAAAATACTGACCCTCTCAAAGCAACCACATGCCTGGTAAAATAACAAAGTTATATCAATATCTAGAGGGATAACATCGTGGGTACTCACCTTTGGAATTGAGTAATGTATGTCAAGCTTGCGACGCCTCAATGGTTTATTCTGCAGTGATTTCATCGCATTACGAGCTGCTCTAATGTCATAATAGGATATCATAACAAAACCGCGGTGCTTGCAGGCTGTATAAAGAGTGCGAATATCTCCATATTGCTGCACATTCGAGTTATCAAAATTTCAGTACTCAATGGCCAAAGAACATGTAATGCTGAAAATGAATACAAATCCCACAACTAAGACGTCTAGCATACCTCAAACAGGGTTCTCAACTCAGAATCTTCAATGTTACTGTTTATATTTCTCACAAACAACGTCCGGGAAGGGTGTTCACCATAAGGGTGTTCCCCCACTACTGAACCATTGCACAACAGACCATTAGAAAGTTCTCCAGCATACTCAGAGTCCTTTAATCCAGTTGCCAAACCGCCATCTCCCAAATCCATCCCTCCAACACTGCTAAAAAGGTCCAACTCCTCCATATTATCCCTAGCACTCAGTTGGACCGAATAGTCAAGCCCATCGGTAACTCCAGAAAGCAACTCGTCATCGTTTGGGAGAAGATTTCCGATGGTTTGGGCCTCAATTTCTTCAAGGGATTCAAAAGCTTCCTCTTCATCATAGTGGGAGGCAACAGTATCAACAGAATGGCCATATAGTGTATTGTTCGACGATAATCTTACTGCATCAGAAGACTTTCATTTTCAACAAAAATCACATAGAAAATAAGCGACAAAACTGAATCAATCAAAGAAACTACAGCCTAGAACAGAGTGGATATCAGCAGAATGGCCATATTGTTTGACAATAATCTCACTGCATGAGAAATTCAACAAAAATCGTGCAGCAAATATGCAATGAAACTGAAGCTACCAAAACAACTACAGCATAGAACACATTAGTCACTAAGAAATTTGAATAAGGCTTCATTTAAGGTTCAAGCACATTAGCTGGCATTGGAAACAGAACTGCACGCAAGGAATACTGAAGTCAGAAGGCTTACACTTCCTACCAAATAGCTCCGACAATGAACTTGAAAAAAGGCTACTCTCATACTGAGCTCCCATCATATTGACTTTACCACCTTCTCCAAAATAAGATGCTGTCTCAACATTTGCATTAGATCTTGCTCCTGAATCATGGTTCATGGTTCTCGACAAATTCAAGGAATGATTTAAGGCTCTCTCTGCTCCCACTGCCTGTCTATTGAAGCCGGGATGCACTTTCTGGTCTTCCATTATGAAAAATTTGGGATGGTCCACAGAATTCACTGTCTGACACTTCTCCAGAG